ATGTGTGGGAAGCACTTTATCATTCCAGACTTGTTTTTCCCAACTAATCAGTATCAGCCCTTCCTTTCAGGGAACAAAGACCTGTTGGAAAAGAACAGAAAATAAAAATCCATCTAGTTTAGGAGTTTGTTTTGGCTGTGTGTGCCCTGCACTTATGGATTTTGCTCCCTGACATGAATATAACAAATACCAAATGACCAAACACATTCTCTCTCCCTGATCAAGAGTGATTTACTCAGTGCTGACTCTGAGAAGTAGCTTGTTTCTTTGAAAGGGCTGAAAAATGCTTTTATTTTTCAGACTCCTGAATTGTGAAGACTCATATGAGAGAATCCTTCCCCTCCAACCATCTAAAGTCCTACAGTGCTTCGTGACTGACTTGCTCATTCAGGTTTCCAGTCGAATTCTCTATTTGACAGCAACTAGAAGGATGTGCAACTATGACACATAACTATCTACTGGGGCTTTGGGGAGGAAAAAGGAGGAGGATGGGCAATAGATGTTAGCTCAGAGCCGGTCTTCCTCAGCAAAAAGAGGAGGATTAGCACAGATGTTAGCTCAGGGCTGATCTTCCTCACAAAAAATAAATAAATAAATAAATTCTGTATTTGTACTTTGTCTTCCCAGATTAATCCAGTGCAACCCTCCCTTTCTGGGAACACACTGATAATTCAAAAGAGCATAGGACCCACCTCTCAGCATCGCTAATAATCCTTCCAGCCTGGTGTTTATTTAGGACAGTAACACTAGGAGAATTTTGTCAGAAACCATGGTAATGACCTGAAAAAGATTGAGGAAAAAACCAAACATGGATCTGAGGGTTCATCTTGTTTAACCCCCTCATTTCAGAGCAGAGGAAAGAGGTGCAGGGAGAGTGTGGGACCTGTCTCCAGCCAGTCAGGACCCTGGAACCTAAGTCCTTAGATGATGCTTTTTTCCTGATGCTCTCTGTCTGCACTGCTCCTGATAACGTGTGTGTCAATCATCTAGGAATTTATCTAGACTCTTCTCAAATCCATTCACAGTTCTATACCTTGGCCATGCTGCATTATCAGGCTGTATATTTACAACTACTGCAAAAAACTATCATTAACAAAATTGGCACCATTACAAATTCTGTTACCTGCTTTGGTCTATACCCAGCATGAATTTTTTTTTTTTTCATTTCAAAATGGAAGTAACTTTATATTCCTATAGTTACATGATAAAAAGTTGATTACTATATGGTTACATTAAAAAAATTCTTATTCCTACCACCTAGACATAACCATTGTTAAAATATTAGAGTATATCCTTCCAGACATTTTGTTTTACAAAAAGTGATATATATTTTTTCCAAAAAAATTCAAACATTAAAGATATGTATAAAGCAGAAAATCAAAACAGCCCTCCTTTACCTCCACCCCTGTGGAGGGCAGAATTCTTAGATGGCCTCCAAGATTTCCTGTTCTATGCATATGCTTACATAAACCCTGAGATTGTGACTATGATGGATTTGACTCTCATGATTGGGTTATGTTACATGGCACACTCGACCTTGACCCAGGAGATTATCTGGGTGGGCTTCACCTAATACATGAGTCCTTTAAAATCAGAGTTTTCTCTGGCTGGTGGTAGTGATTTGAAGTGTGAGAGTTTTGAAGTGTGAGAAGGATTAGGCACACTTGAAGATGGATAGAACTACATGAAAAGAATGTGGACAGCCTCTGGGAGCTAAGAGCAAGCAGCCTCTGGGTGACAGGCCTCAAGGAAATGGGACCTCAGTTTTACAACAAGGAACGGGATTCTGTCAGTAAGGATTCTGGTTGCCAATTCCAATGCGTGTGTGTGTTGGGGGGGGGTAGTTTCCACACAACACCAAGCAATTCTCAGACACCAGCTGGGTCTCTCTCCTACAATTCAACTCAATTCTAACACTATCTACTCCAAGATAGTTTTGAATCCTACAGGTTAAGGGCTCAGTCCACAAGACTGCCCCCTACTTGAGATGCCAGTCACAAGCCCAGGTTATCATCTGTGCTTTTGACCAATCAGTTATAGATTATAGGTTGCAACAACCCCTTGCTCCTTGGGTTCAATTAATTTGCTGGAGTGACTCACAGAACTCAGATAAACATTTTACTTAACTGATGACCAGTTTATTATAAAAGGATGTAACTCAGGAACAGCCGATGGAAGAGATGCCTTCAGGCAAGGTATGGAGGAAAGGCGTGGAGCTTCCATGCCCTCTGCAGGCTTGCCTCTCTCAGCACCTCCAGCTGGTCACCAACCCTGAAGTTCTCTGAACTGCACCCTTTGGGTTTTTAGGGAGGCGTCATTACACAGGCGTGATTGATTAAATCATTGGCCTTGGCTACCCAAACTCAACCTCCAGCCCCTGTCCCCTCCCAGAGATCAAGGGAGTGGGACTGAAAGTTCCCACCCTCTAATCACCTGGTGGCTCCTCTGGCGACCAGCCCCCATCCTTACGTGCCTTTAAAAGTCACCTCATTAGCATAACAAAAGACATCTTTATTGCTCCCATCACTTAGGAAATTCCAAGGGTTTTAGGAGCTCTGCGCCAAAAATGGGGATGTAGATCAAACACATATTTCTTTTTTTTTTTTCTTTTTTTTGTGAGGAAGATCAGCCCTGAGCTAACATCCATGCTAATCCTCCTTTTTTTGCTGAGGAAGACTGGCTCTGAGCTAACATCTATTGCCAATCCTCCTCCTTTTTTTTTTTGTCCCCCCTAAAGCCCCAGTAGATAGTTGTACGTCATAGTTGCACATCCTTCTAGTTGCTGTATGTGGGACGTGGCCTCAGCATGGCCGGAGAAGCGGTGCATCGGTGTGCGCCCGGGATCCGAACCCGGGCCGCCAGTAGTGGAGCGCGCGCACTTAACCGCTAAGCCACGGGGCTGGCCCCACATATTTCTTATTATAAATCATAATATCACAGCCAGCAACCTGAATGGGCTTGAAAGTGGATTCTTCCCCATTAGCCCTCCAGATGAGAACTCAGCCTAGCTGACAACTTGATTCCAGCCTTGTGATTCCCTGTGCTGGGGACCTGGGCATGCTGTGCCAGATGTCTAGCCTAAAGACACTGTGAGATAGTACATAGGTGTTAGCTTAAGTCGCTGAGTTTGTGGTAATTTGTTACACAGCAATGGACAACTAATAAAACCCCCAATCTCACATCTCTGGAGGTAATCACTTTACACACTTTGAAGAGTCCCCTTCCAGATATTTTAATCCACATGCAAGTATACTATATTTAAATGGAAACATTGCTATTATTTGTATTTTGTTTTCTTCATTTAATATATTGGCAGCATCTTTCCATATAGCATTTGTGTATTTTTTATAAGACAAATTTCTGGAAGCTTTGTCAAAGATACCCTTAAAATTTTGGAAGAAACTGTCAAATTGCCTTCAAAAGACTGCATTGATTCCCAATCCCACCAGAAGATAGGAGTCCCTACCTCCCCACATTCTCCCTCGCCAGATAGTCTTACTCTTTAATGATGTTACTTATCCATTTGTATTTCTTTTACAGCCAACAAATTTAGAGTCCAATAACAACTTACCATTGTATCTGCTTTTGTTTACTAAGTATTATCAAAACAGTGCAGGAACGTAACTTAATACTGAGCTTTGTACTTAAATGCACATGAACTAGGGCTAAATTACTGAAATTTGAGCTACTTCTTGATTAAGCAACTGATTTCTAGATAGAAATATTTATTTTGGAAGAGTCTCAAAATTTTTCTCAGTTTTGGCAGAATATCTTTTCAAATCTATTTCTATTAAGAAAACTTTTTTTCCACCTCAGAGACCCAAAATATCACAGTTTTTAAAATTCTCTAATATTTCTTACTTGAACTACTTATTTTTTTAAAGTCCAAAAAGCACAGTCAGACAAAACTTAAAAGCAACCAAGATGTCCTTCAATAGGTGAATGGATAAATAAACTGTGATACATCTAGACAATGGAAAATTATTCAGCACTAAAAAGAAATGAGCTATCATGCCGTGATAAGACATGGAGGAAACGTAAATGCATATTACTAAGTGAAAGAAGCCAATCTGAAAAGGCTACATACTGTATGATTCCAACTATATGACATTCTGGAAAAGGCAAAACTACAGAGACACTAAAAAGATCAGTGGTTGTCATGGGTTGGGGTGGGGAGGAACGAATGAGCAGAGCACAGGATTTTTAGGGCAGTGAAACTACTCTGTATAATACTATAGTGGTGGATACATGTCATTACACATTTTTCCAAATCCATAGAATGTACAACACCAAGAGTGAACGCTAAAGTAAACTATGGACTTTGGATGATAATAATGGGTCATTGTAGGTTCATTGATTGTAACAAATGTACCACTGTGGTGGGGGGGTGCTGATATTGAGGGAGGCTGTGCACGTGTGGGGGTAGGAAGTAGTCTTAAAAAAAAAAAAAATGGGCCAGCCTGGTGGCTTAGCGGTTAAGTGCGCGCGCTCTGCTGCTGGCG